TTTCTGCCTTTCTAACCCCCATTGGAGCTTAAGCCCTCAACCAGCTAAAGCCAAGTCGTTTATCTGTTTCATGTATCTCTCCCCGTCTTCTCAACTTCACTCTCTAGCTGCCTTCTCTGTGTGTTTTTTGTGTCTTCCTTTATTTCTAGGCTGCTGTAGGTTCTAATGGACAATTTATTGCCTGGCATATTTCAATGCATCTCACCAGGTGCATCCTACAGTAACAGATTGACTATAATGAAGCAAAAAAATCAGTCCTACTTGGGTGAGCCCAGAACCGGAGTATCATATGTCAGCTCTGCATTTATGGAAGCCTCAGTGAATTGCGGAGTATCATATGTCAGCTCTGCATTTATGGAAGCCTCAGTGAATTGCGGAGAATGCCCATAATCTGCCTCTGCAATCCTTTGAGTGCGGACCAGTCTAAACGCAGATGCCCTGGAAAGGCTCTCCAGGGGCAACACCGGTAGATAAGGAAACAAAGAGAACACCACACAAATAAAAATACGCATGGCGGGGCAGATGTCATCAAGGCTCTTTGGGAACACGCAACAGAATCAGTAGAGAAACAAGATTATTATGGCCTGGAAAGAATAAGGCACCTGGGTGTGACCGGAGGGTCTGGCCGGCTCACTACACTCAGAGGAAAGGCAAGACAGATGTTAAACTAGATTGTGACCGGTACCATCAGTACTGGAACTCTGCGCTGGCTGCTGAAGATGAGGACGGAGCATACACGGGAATGGCCTGAGTGCTGTCATGTCAATTCTTGATCCAACTCAACTCAAATACGCAATTTTCCTCAAAACTCTCTGGTATGTTAATGGATGAATGCTCAATAAAGTCAGCTGTGTCAAAAGGCGCAAATACCGCAGCTCTGCTGTAAACAGGCACAACTAATTTACATGGTTCCAACAATAAGAAGAAGAAAAATCAGTCTTTATGAAATAGGAAATCAATTACAGTAAAATATAACTGATATACCTGACAATATAAAGCAAAATATACCAGGCAATAAATTGTGCCGTCTGTTGCTCATGTCTTTGTTTTACAACGGGAACACTGAGTGCCAGCTATGTAACTACCCCTACAAAACTGTTGACCATCATCTCTTTGAGTGCCCAAAACTCAACGAGACTAGAAGAATGCTACTCCCTCCGAGACCAGACAGGTGGAACACCTTGTACGGAGGAAAAGAACAGCCTGTGAAAACATGTAAATTCCACTACATGGGATTGGGCCAAAGAGCGAAAGCTTTTGCCAGGGGCCCTAATTATGGCCTAACAGCTGAAAGGGGTTTCTTAGACCTCTCCACAGGTGATCCTCATCCGTATGATGGCACTTCGTGTAACCGAGTGTTTATCGCTTTGTGTGATGTCCTGGTAGGGTACAAAAGAGAGAGGGAGAATCACTAGAAGTAAAAATAGTATGGCGACCACAAAAGAAGTCAAGAGAAAGCATGAAGAGCCCAACGGTACAGCACCTGCAAGTGTGTTCAAGTAAAAACTTTGAGATCATGCATATGTCTCTTGGCAACTTATGGTTATGCGTCTTGAACTCCTAATCTTTGACAAAAATTGTAGCTTTTGAACCGAAATGATACAGACAATTCTTAGAATACGGTGGACCAAGAAGAAGAAGGAACATCCACGTCCTATATGATTCGAACATCGAGGAGAATAGGCTCTTATGCAGCTTTATCTGAAAGCTGAAGCATTCTGTTCATGTTATGCGTTACCGGGGCCTGGATATAAGAATGATTGAGGATGCAGTCTCCAGAAAATGAAGCAGAGGCCCAGACCCGCTAAGATGGATGCAAGACATTGAAGGTACATTGACTATCAAGGCACATAGAGCTGGAGAATTGGCTTGAGAAAGAGAGATTTTCGGTCTGAAGAGAATGGTGTAGCGGGAGATGGCCAGAAAGATCTGGCTGGCACTCAGGAGAAAAACAAGACGGACAGACTGATACTGGTACCATCATAATTAGATCTGCCTGGCTGTTGAAGATTGGGACAGTGCACTCATGGGAATGTCCAGAATGCTGTGATTTCCATTCTTAACCTAACTCAGTGGCACTACTTTGCTTTCCTTAAGTAGGCTGGTAACAAAAGTCTCTTTTTCTTTTTGCGCAAGGCTCACATATCTAAAGGAAAGAAAGTGCACTGGCACGTGTAACAGGCACAAACATAAAAACAAGTCAAACATTTGATACATTTCCATTTAATGCCACACTGACTGAAATTAGCCAATACATCAAGTATGGGATTTAAGACTTCATGCTTCTGGCGTTCTTTATAACAACCTATTATATAGTCAGCTGCGTTATCTCAAGACATGGTGTCCGCCTCGAGTGCTAGAGGTCCCGGGTTCAAGCCCCTGTGAGGGGTGGGATTTTTTTTCACGTGGACTTGTAATAATTTCTCCTTGATCTCTGGGTAGTAAGACCAGACGTGTGTATTGTTGTGCACGTAAAAAATCCTTTGGCAGCTGGAAATTGAAAAAGGTAGCCTAACAGCACTGCTCTGGCAAAATTTGGAGTTAAAATCGACCCAAAGTATTTCAGGATCCTCGCCAGTACAACAGAGTTCGTGCACTGCGCTGAGATTCTTCAGACTACTAAGGCTTGGGTTAGAAGAACAGAGCACTTATAGGTTACACCTGTGTGCCGTGATGTTGATCCGTTGAATAAACATAAACAGTCAGCTTTATACAGCACAGGCCACTTTCTCCCTTCCCTCACACACACAATTTGCTCCTTCCAGACGTAACTTTTTTAAATGCTTCTGGAACTTGAGTGTTGCATGCATATCTATTTTACAGATTTGGTTTATTTTTATGTCATATTGCTTTCTCACTCAGGGATGTGCACTCCAACTTTACCTCCAAAATGGGGACCCGGAACCAACACGTGAATAAAATGTATACAGATACTACTACAACAAATCCAAGTTGTTGGCGTTTTTTTTTTTTTTTTTTTATATAAAGATGCAGTAAGCGGAGTAGTTTCTACTTTTTTCCTTCACAAGATTCCAGCTTCCCCCTTTTTTTTTCTTCATTCTGTAGTGACATGTACTAGTGTATTTAACATTTTCCCTAACTGCTGTAAATATTCCAATTCCTTTTGAGAAAAAAATCAAAAACTTAACCACGTTCAACCTGCTGCTAGCTAGCCGAAGCTGCAAAGTCTCCGGCTATATTTGTGGTCTTGTTTATTTGCGCCACTTTCATGGCTAAAGTTCTGGTATTTGCGCCGTCTCTGGGCCTAATGCTTCTTTCCTCCATGTCAAACCGCTCATTCCCTATCCTGTTGTCAACTGTGTTCTTCTTGCCCTTTCATCTCTAATGTTTCCTCCTTAATTTCAGCTCCTTCTGATTTGGCCAGGCGTATATCGTAGGAGAGTGAGCTTCTCAACATAACGTCCTTTAGTTAAAATTTTGAGTATTTAACTTTGCCAAAAAGTACTGAAAACAGCTGTAAATATGTTTAGGCTGATGGCTTAATATGCATTAAGTATGTCTCTGAACTTTGAACCCCTGAACATGGGAATTTTCAGTGTTCCTTATTCTCGACCCTACTGTATGGCACAGATTCTCGACCCTACTGTATGGCACAGATTCTCGACCCTACTGTATGGCACAGATTCTCGACCCTACTGTATGGCACAGATTCTCGACCCTACTGTATGGCACAGATTCTCGACCCTACTGTATGGCACAGATACTCGACCCTACTGTATGGCACAGATACTCGACCCTACTGTATGGCACAGATACTCGACCCTACTGTATGGCACAGATACTCGACCCTACTGTATGGCACAGATACTCGACCCTACTGTATGGCACAGAAGCTTAGACAATGGACAAGCCTTTGGTTCAAACTGAGGCTCTGCTGATATGGTTTTACAAAAGTAAAGTTTTTATTTCATGGAAACAAATAAACAGGTGTGGAAGATGGGAATCAGGGTTGTTGTAAGAAACAAGTAAATATTTCAGCCATGCTGAAAAACAAAACATTCTTCAGTGTTTAAATTTAAAGGTGGTTAACACACTGTGTTGTTCATGGAAACACACAGGTGTGAAAGATGGGAATCAGGGTTCTTGTAAGAAGAGTTGAGTTGATTCAAGAACTGACATCACAGCACTCGGAGCATTCCCATAAGCGCTCCATTCCCTTCCTCAGCAGCCAGAAGAGCTTTGATACTAATGGTGCCAGTAGCATTCTGATTAAATGTCCGTCTTGCCTTTCCTCTGAGCCTCGAGCATCTGCCAAAACCCCTCGTCACTCCACGCTGCATCAATCTCACTAGACTGCGGTGATCCATCTGCTTCTCCGAACTGTACACGCTCTCCCACAAGGCATTAACCACGTCTGCCATATCATGCATCAGTATTCCACTAAGTTGTACAGAGCCAGCCAGTCTGTCCACCTGTTTATTTCCCAACACACCGGTGTATCCCAGTGGAAAAAATCCTTACCCGTGTCCTCCGCAGTGAAGCATGCCACTCTGCACGAAGCATGCCTGTCCTGATCTTCCTCAGCATGCTTTCTGAGTCAGTTACAATCACGATATGTGTGTGTTGTAAGAAAAAAGAGACAAGTAAATATTTCAGCCATGCTGAAAAACACAACATTCTTCAGTGTTCACACTTAAAGGGTGGTTTTCACACTGTTGTGGTATACAGCTAGACTGTGATATCTGCATCTTTAGCTCAACACATCTGATTTCAGCATATCCTTAATTAATCACCTTTTATGACCTACAAGTCCTCCATAAAAATTGGAGCCCCATAATCCACATGAGGATTATTCTTATAAAAATCAAATAGTGAAAGTTGAAGGCAAGAGGTATACAGTGATACAAGTGACAGGATAACATGAAGAGATGGATGAACAGAGACTGAGAGAGAGTACATCCAGGGCAAGAGATGGAGAGTGCTGGAGATCCACAGCAGCCAACCTTGACTGTGAAGATGGCACCTGATTGATAATGATTCTAGTTTGGTTCCATCAACATTGGTCCTGGACACAAAGCATTGATTTTCTGCCGCTGACGTTCCACCAGCTGTTGGAGTCTGAAACATACAACAGTGATAGATGTTGCTGGGCTGGGTGTGTTTCAAATCTTCAGTGTACTAGGCCCATGACCCACCCACAGTGCTCCAATATAACTGCTATATGGTTTCATATAATATGATATCCAGAAGTGAATCATGGACGGTTGGTAGATTAGTGACAAATTATTTCAAAGCTGCGGAGAATGATGAGAATACCCTGGACAGATCAAAAGAGTAATGAGGATGTCTTAAAAGAAACTGACTCACAAAGAGAACTGATTGCCCACATCATAAAGAGACATTCTGCATTCTTTTGTCATGTGATAAGAAGGAAAAAACTGGAGTACATCTCGTCACAGTAGGAAAGTTGAGGGCGACGAGAGAAACAATGCTGGACATATTGACATCATGGCACGGAGGATCATCTGTATCAGAGTTGACTGAAATTACACCAGATGGAAGGTTGTGGACATGACTGCCAACGCCACACGCCACATACTTTAAGAATAAGATGGTTCAACATAGTTAAACTGTGCTGGCTCTGCACAACTAGGTGGAATATGGATAAGGCAGACATGGTTAAGGTCTTATGTGAACACGTGTGCAAATCAGAACAGGAAATTGATAATCAAAGTCTGGTTAGAGTGATGCAGCAAGGAGCATCGAGGGGATCTGGCCGATACTCAATGCTCAGAGGAAAAGCAAATGGACATATGATCACACCGCTACTCGTACCACTGGGATGGAGCGCTTATGGGAATGCCCTAAACTGATGTGATGTTGGTTGTTGAATCAACAGTTTCTGGGATTTCTAACTTGCTAAGTCTGATCCTTGGGATGTTAATCCTACAGACTGCGATCCTAGAGGGAAATACTAAAACACACACCCAAAAAACAGTGTATTATACACCACATGGAATGAGTTGGACAAAAGACAACCTAGATTTACCAAGTTATAATAGTTTTACTGTTTCCCCAAAAATAAGCCTTAGATTGATTTTTCAGGACATTTGTCTATATGTCAAATATAAGCCCTATTTACTATCATCAGCCAGACGAACAGACTGCTCATCCCTTGAAGCCTACAATGGACGAACTGAATTATAAAGTAATAAATGTACAAATAAATGTGAACACAGAAGACACAAACAACCGACTACCCAATTTATCGCCTGACATATGTTATTGTATCTTGTCAGGTGCATGCTACAGTAGCAGATGATTAAAATTAATCAAATAAATGAATCCTTCTAGCTCAAAACACAAAACTGATATACAGCCAGGCAATAAATTGTGCAATGTTCTTCTTCTTTGCGTTTACCGGCTGAAAATTATGGTTGTTCACCCATCTGTGGACTTAAGTCTTGCTCTGAACCTGATGTTGCATGCACATCAGTTTTACAGATTTTACTTATTTGTATGCAGACTGTTGGTTCCTTGCCTCTCATGCAGGTGCACACAGACTTTGAAGAAATTCACCAATTAGTCGACTCCTACGACATGCTTGTTGGGGAGTTAGTGGGTCTGTTCTTGTTTTCCACTCAATGGGGGTCCAGGAACCCACACGTGAAACATTGTGCAATCTACTGTCTGTGTTTTTGTTGTTCAAATTCACAATGGGGAAACATTGCTTTGGTATTAGTAAGTAAAAATTAAAGGAGAATTGTCTGTGCCTTCAGGCATATAGGGCTAGACCTATATTTTATAAACCAATCAGCGCTTGGTGGGTTATGTGGTCAGCATCATGTTGGCTGCATTTACTTCCTGGGGGCCAAGGTAATTTTTTATCACGCTCCGATAGGACCCAAACTCATGACCTTTTGATCCGCAGGCTAGTGTCTAGCTGCTACACCACGGTGGCTCCCTTTGGTATAAATCAATAATATTAATGCTTTAAATAAATGATAATGTAAATGTCGATTTTTGTACCTGAAAAATAAGACATTCCTTAAAAATATGCTTTGAGGCATCTTCTGCAGAAAAAAATTATGTAAGACATGGGCTTATTTTGGGGGTAATATAGTAGTATCTGAGAATCTCCAGATTTTGATAAGTAAAATACATGGCTGGTATTAATTTATAGATCATCTGCAAAAGACACAATTGGTTAACTCTTTACGTCCCAGGGGGGTTTTAGTATCAGAGGCCCGAGGGGTTGTCAAGAGAGACATAAAATTGGCGCATATGGCTTTCACTGGGCCGCTAGGTAGGAACCTATAAAAGTATGATGTGTTCCTTGGGACTCAAAGAGTTAAGGAGGGTTTTCATGGTGAAGTGGTTAACTGTGAGTTAGGGGTCTCTGTGGCAGAGTGGTCAAGCTGTTTGCCTTGGGCTCTGAAGGTCATAAGTTCATTTCACGGCTGTGTCAATGTTTACGCAGATACCTGGGGATCCTTTCTGGAGCTACAGAGTTCTAACTTGGTGCAATATCTCAGCAGGCGGCTAGCCGTTCTGAGGAGATTGACTGAGCATCATAGGATAAAACCTAATGCAATGAAGCTGATACTCTCGGCTTTAACTTTACTTCATAAACATAAATTATGACTATAACATTTATGTTGCAGAGCTTTTCATGATTCCCCCATTAAAAAGCCATGTTGATGTCACGAGTTCCTGCAAGGCTCAGTGATAGAGGTCATAGCATAAGTCACATGATATACTGTGGGTTTTTTTTTAGGTCACGGAGGGATGTATTCCATTTAATACTTCACTATGTTCATGCTTAGTGATTACTCCTTTTATATACCTTCATACTTTTCAACAACAACAACAATTATATTGTTGACAAGTACAATTTTTAAGAATTTATTAATGACCTCTGTAAAACTGTTGTTTTCTCTACTGATTTTTTTTTTCTGCAATTCTGATGGGGTCATGCCTTTTTTTTTTCTTTTTTTTTTCCTGGGATGAAAGGGTTAAAAATGTATATATCAAGTCTTTAGAGTGACCACTGCAATACATACAAGCTACACATTCTGTATTGAAGCACATTTACTCACTTCTCAATTTGTGCTGACTGAGACTGATTTTTCTTTTCCATCAACACAATCTTTGTCTCTAGTTCAACTTTTTCTTCTGCTTTCTTGGAAAGTACAGAGTTCACAGGTTTCTTCTCCGTGGGGTCAAGGTTGGAAGTTTTAACTTCAGGATATACAGATGTCTGGTTTACTGGGCTGTCTGAAAGTAATGCCTTATGCAACCTGGAAAAAATTGAATAAATTTTCCTTAAAATGTTAAGCTTAATACCAAAAGGTTTCCCAGTGTGTGTTCCGGGGTCCTATTATAGGGAAATCAAGAATAGACCTACTGCCTCCCCAACAAGCATGTCATAAGAGCTGACTAACTGGGGTCATTCTTCGAAGTCAGAGCACATTTGCCTAAGAGGCAAGGAACAAATAAGCTAGATCTGTACATGCAACATTCAGGTTCAGGAGCAAGACTAAAGTCTGCAGATGGAAGAAAAACTTTCCGCTGGAGTTTACAGCGAGTGAACATGAAGAAGACTCAAGGTAAAAAGGTAAAGGTAAAGTCAGGAGATGTGAACCAGCGTCATTGCACACGGTTGTAAACCATAAGTGCTCTGCCACCAGTACGGACAGCTGATAAGAAACTGTCTGCCTATGTCGCCATCCGCACGTTACTCTGTAGCTAAAGCGACGTTCCTCCATTTACCCCAGAGTGTCACTCTGGTACCCATTTCTTAGAGGTTGGGTGAACCCTGGTAGCTACCCAGTTTTGAACACCGGCCTGTGGCTGCAGGGAGTCGCAGCTGGATTTGAAAGCGAGCCTCGTATCGACTGCGCTAACGCGGCTCCCGAGAAGACTCAAGGATTACCCCCATGTGGTTCAGGGCTCCCTTTGTTTTGAAAAGAAAAAATGGTGAAGGGGGTAGACCCACTGCCCCTTACTTAAAAGGCGACCAATGAAAGGTTTGCTGAAAAAATGTATGGGCCGAAAGGCTTGTATACTGCAGATCAGGTGTAAACCACAACACAATGTGCTGACCAACATTTAAAGTTTAATGCAGAAGAAGACAAGAAGCTCTATTTTTTTACTGATCATCAGTATGTGAATGGTCAATATCATGTTGACCACCTTTACTTTCTGCAACATTTCCTGGTACCTATTTTATGCATGAGAAGCTAGATGTTGTAAGAGCCCTTGGGAGCAAGTAAACAGTGCAGAGGCACACATAGGTCATTACAGTCTGAACAGATGGTGCAGCAAGGAGTGACTAGAGAATCTGGCACGGTTGGAACTAGAACTCTGCTTTCTCTGTTCCAAAAATACTTGTAGCTCACTGGCCACTGGGGGCGTCTGTGGCTTAGGCGTTGCGAGTCCGACTCGTATTTCCAACGTACCGTGACTGAAACCCACCGCTGGCTGCATGGATTATTATCATGGTATAGGGTGTCGCAGGTCAACCCAGCCTAAAATAGGTACCAGGATGTATGCCCTGGGCGAGTAAAGATGGCCGCCGTAATTCTAACTTTATTACCCACCTAGTGCCGATTGGTCTGTAAAAGTATGGGTGCTCTTCCCATATGCCCGATGCGCCTTAAGAGATCTTTACTTTACTTTACTTACTCGCCACTGTCTTCTCCAGCACTTTACCAAAGGTGTTTTGCAGGGAGGCAGTGAGTCTAATCTTTTCTCCCTAAAAATGAGGCCCCAAAATCCACATGGGAACAATCATTGTTTAAGTGTGCTATATTTTATGTCACATAATCATTTCTTTCAGTCCTCTATGTCATTTCTATTGTTACTGTTTGAAGTATTATCTTCCTCACACTTTATGGGTTGTGATCAGGGCAGACAGTAAATCCAGAATGAATAACCTCAACAAAATATTGTCGGAACTCAAAGAAGAAATATTCCTACCTGTACATCAGCTTTGTTTCACTGACATCCTGTGTCAGATGCTTCAGTCTAGCAACTGCCAAATCTCTCTCCTTCTCTGTCACTCTCAGCTTGGCCTGTAAGAAAACTCCCACGTGATCTTTGAAAGTATTAATCTTAAAAGCCTAAATTACTGATGATGATGAATGTAATAATATTTAACAATTACATACAAGACACAAGCCTAGTCGTAATAAATATATAATTTTTTTAAGTTTAGGGTAATAAATATTATCAAAATACTCATTATTTACTATCTATTATAATCATAACACAGAAGTATTTATAGATTAGTACTTCATAAATAACAATGATAATTAAATAAAAGAGTGATGGCTCAGCCCCCTGATAAATTGTATTGGGTGTGTGTGTGTGTGTGTGTGACTGCCTTGTTTAAGTGTGCAATAATATTAATCATTTTTATGGGTTGTGCTAAATGGCAAATATATATAAAAAAAATATAAAAGGCATAAACAAAGAATGTCTATAAGATAAGGGTGGCCACGTAGCTACCCTGCACATTTTCTAGGAAAAGGGGAGTGGGGGATAGGTACTAAAAAAAAAGCCATTACTGCCTATAGTTACCATTTTTAGAGCCGTGTAGGATGGGGAGAAAGGGGGGAGGGAGTCTTGAACACGAGGAATTTAAGGCCGCACGTCTAGTGAAGTCACCATGGACTGTGCGGGTAAGGATTTTCGCTGCCAACAGATAAAAATCCATCACATACCTTACCCCTAGGTTCCAGTGCCCCCTGCTCAACACTGTACCTAAATCCGAGTGTCCAGATGAAACACAGAAACAGAACACCACTTACCAGTAAAGCATTAGCTCTGTTGTCTTTGTAGTAGGACAGTTCAAGGGAGGTCAGCTTCTTCTCCAGCTTCATCACCTGCCCAGAGTCAGAACCAACATTTAAAATAAAAAACACTTTATAGGCGTTTCTTCAGAATCATTTGTTTGTTGAAAACTGGTAATGTGGGAGTGAGGGGTGGAGTCACATATTTTAACTTCCCTGGTAATTTCCTGGTATTATGTTTTAGAACTGGGTCATTACAGTAGCCTAGGTGAATACAAATGTGAGAATTTGAACACACGCCTGCTGAGCTGGCAATGTCGATTGCAAATTTTTAATAATATTTGTTGCAAACTTCCATGCATATACCTATACCCTCATAAATGTGCATGTCATCATCATCATCATGTAGCAAGTACTTCACAGAACACAGCTCTCACCACCAGCTCTCCCGCCTCGAGTACTTCGATTTTCAAGGAGTCACTTATATCATGTGCCTATCTTCGTGTTACTTGGCCCCTACCCATCCATCCTGGTACCATGCCTTCTGCTATAAATTTTCAAATCCACCATGGTGCTTGATAAGTAAAGTAAAGATCCCTTTTCACGCCTTTCGGCGCATCGGGCATATGGGCAGAGCGTCCCATATTTTTACAGACCATCAGCACTCTGTGGGTAATGTGGTCAGCATTATGCCGGCTGTCTTTACTTTCCCAGGACAGCCCATCCTGATACCCATTTTAGGCTGGGTCAACCTGCGACGTCCCATACCACGACAAAAATCCACGCAGCCTGCAGTGGGTTTCGATCGCGGTATGCTGGCTCACGAGTCGGACTCGCAACACCTTAGCCATGGACGCCGCTATGTGCTTGATACAACCAAAATATTTCGGCTTCTGAGTCAAGATGCTGTTTATTAGCCAATCTTCCTTGATGTTCAGATCTTTTAAAATATCAGTATTCTCTTCTTTGTCCATGGTTTTCTGAGAATCTTTCTGTAGCATTTCAGCTCAAAAGCCCTTATTTTCTTTCTCAATGACTCGGAACTAGTCCATGACATACACCTGTATGTTGCTGTGGGGAAGATGCATGCTCTCAAAATTTTAATTTAGATTTTCTTGCTGGTACTTAACCATAGACTTTTAATGCTAAAAAATAATATGCATGCATGTACCAAGATATAAATGCATATGCGCATGCACTCAAACACACACACACATATTCCTGCACACATTCCTTAATAAATAGTGAAAACCATATGTGAATCACATACATCTCATCTCTTAAAATGAGCATCCTGTTTACTCACCCTCTGTCTGGCTTCATTTCTTTCATCAAGTACCTTCTGCATTTCTAATTTCATAATTTCTCTTTGGCGAGCTATCAGCAGTTCCACATACTTCTGTTTTCGCTGGTCACTTGACAAAGTTTCACCTTCTGAGACTGTCAAGATCACTTCTGAAAAACCAGGAAGCCTTCCCTGAAACAGTTTCACAGGTGAAGCTCTGTCAGATGGTAATACACGTTGTTTCCAAAAAAACTGTGCTGCCATTTAGATTTATTAGAAATAGATGTCCATTAAAATATATTTCAGTTTTATAATTCATGTTCAAGAAGATAAAACCTCTTAATCTCCTGCATTTGCCCTTATAATGTCGGCTGGCATGTTGTGTTGTTGTTTACAGCTATGCTGTGATATCTACGCCTTTCTGATCTTCGCATTAAATTTCAGTAATCTTTCAGTTATCCCCGTGTGAGTTCCAGGGCCCTATTGTGGGGAAAACAAGAATAGACCCACTGCCTGCCCAAAAGCATGTGGTAAAAGTCAACTAATTGGGAGCTTCCTTCGGAGTCGGAGAACATCTGCTTGAGATATAAGGAACCAACAGTCTGCATGCAAATAACCCAGATCTGTAAAACGGATGCACATGCAACACTCAGTTTCTGGAACAGAAAGTGGAAAAACAAATAGAACTTTTCCACAGGAGTTTACAGCCCGCGAAGAAGAAGAAAAAGAAGAAGAAGAAGAAGAAGAAAGAAGTATATGAAGAAGAAGAAAGAAGTTATCTTTTATAATATGCTTGTTAGGGGGCAATATGACTATTCTCTTTTTTTCCCTCTCTAAAATGCATTCTGAAGACCCGTTTGTGAAAGAAAAAAGACAAGCGTAGAATATTTTAAAAGTATACTGCAGATGTTTCGATAGATAAACTTTTACAGGGTGCCAACATGTATTGCACGTCAATTAGAATCTTACACTTCCACTACTAGGAGATTCAATGATGAAGAGATTAACTTCATTGCCTCAACAGCTGAAAAATCGACACTTCCAGGTAAGGTCAATTCCCCGTAAATGTTATTTTTCTGACTTGTCTGTAGTGATCTGTTTATGAGACGTAAAGGTAAAACTATTGGCTGTGTTCACATCTGCACAAACATTCGTGAGGCCAGGATGTGAATATACAAACTTTGAAAAAAAATTTTTTTTTGGTTTTTAAAGCATGTTGAGTTTTTTTTAAATCAAAACTAAAATCCTTTAGAGCTGAATGGAAAATAAAGGGTTTCAGGAAGCAAGGACGTCTAAAAGAAACCCTAAAAAGAATGTTGACAGTAGGGCCAAAGTTTCTGGACTGGATTCTATCAGCAATATCAAAATGGCTGCACAAAACGGAGGAATAGACAGCAAGCCTTATGTGACATATAATGGCACAACAAGTCAGTGATGATGATGATGACATACTTGCACCTCCAGTCTGAAAAGTATTTGCTGATTACCACTTGTGTAGGTTTTTAAAACATGGAATGGCCTGAATGTTGTTGAACATTGAATTAAGAATCAACATCACAGCACTTGGAACACTCCCATAAGTGCTCGGTCCCCATCTTCAGCAGCAAGCGAAGAGTTCCAATTCTGATAGTAGCTGTCTGATTTTGAATCCGTCTCATCCTTTTCCTCAGTATTAAGCGTCAGCCAGATCCCCTGGTAATTCCTCGCAGCGCCATTCTCCTTAGACCGTAATCATCTATCTGCGCCTCCACACTGTACACTCACTCCCAAAGGGCCTCACAATATCTAGCTTGTCATACATCAATTCACCACCAAGTGGTACATGGAATGACCCAAGACTATTAAACCACAGATATTATGAAGATGAGTAAAATCTGATATTCCTGTAAAATTAACAACACAAATCTGAATGTGTGAGGTTATTTGAAAACACACTTTGAAATCTCTGAACAAATGACAAGAAAAAAAAATTGTTTCCTTGAATTAACATTGAAAAATACTTAAAAATAGAAGCAGTTAGATACAAACAAATTCACAAGACAGAGAACTTACGTACAAATCCTCAGTTTCAGAAAATTCACTGTCAGAGAATCCTCCTACTTGTACTGATCTGGGAGAGAAAAACAAGGCAACAGTCGTACTAAGTCATACATGAGGTACCTGGGTTTAAATAGAGGGTCTAGCCGGCGCTACACTCAGAGGAAAGTGTGTCAGGAGTGCTGTGAAGATAATCTAACCCATAACTCAGAAAGAAGATTAAGCCAATAAAGGAAATGATTTTACGTGTGTATAGCCAACTTATCATGACCGGCTACTTCCATCAATGACAAACTGCATTTCTGATGGTAACAGTTGGCTTCAGCTCCTCTAGCCATTGCCTTGTGCATTTAGGGGGTGCGCATATTTCTAGACTGTGCCAGGACTAACTGTTTGTTCACCAGTTTTCAAAAGAGATAGCGATGGACATTTCATTTGATTTTCACTGATACAGAAACGGAGCAATCAAGGCCCTTTGGGAACAAGCAACGGAATCAGTAGAGAAACAAGATTATTATGGCCTGGAGAGAATGAGACACCTGGGTGTAACCAGAGGGTTTGGCCGGCTCACTACGCTTAGAGGAAAGGCAAGACGGACATATAACCAGATTATGACCAGTAGCATCAGTATCGGAACTCTGCGCTGGCTGCTGAATATGAGGATAGAGAATGTATGGGAATGCCCCGAGTGCTGTGATAATCAATTCTTGACTCACTCAACAACAGAGCAAGCATGGGATGAGTGCTGTGATAATCAATTTTTGACTCAACTCAACAACAGAGCAAGCATGGGATGACCCGAGTGCAGTGAAGTGGAAACCTCAACTAAGAGCATGTGAAAGATGGCTGCTGCCTCAAAGGATGGAGCTCGAGTGGATTGGACCCATGTGCTAGAATTTTGAATCTGACAACAAGCAGCAGTGTGTGCTTGCCATTTTCCAGCACAGCTCCTACTAGAAGTTTTTTTTTTTTCACGTTCACCAGCTGTAAACTCTGGTGGAAAGTTCTTGTTGTTCATCCACTTCTAAAACTGCAGTTCTGTTTCAGAACTTGAGTGTTGGGTGTGCATCCGTTTGACAGATCTTACTAATTTGTAAGCAGACTGTTGGTTCCATGCCTCTCAGGCAGATGCACTCTGACTTTGAAGGAAGCTCCCAGTTAGTCGACTTTCATGACATGCTTTTGGGTAGGCAGTGGGTCTATTCTTGTTTTCCCTATAACAGGGCCCCGGAGCCTGCTAGGAGGGAAAATCGTCAGGAAAAACAGAAATAATAAGACAACCACAAGTATCCGCTATAATAATGAGTGGAGGTGAGTGGAGTCGAGAACCAACATCACATGACTCAGGACATTCCCATTTATGCCCTGTCCTCATCTTCAGCAGCCAGCAAAGAGTTTCAATTCTGATGGAACCACTGGCAGTAATTATATGTTTATCTTGCTATTTAAAAAAACAAACTACAAAAACATCACAAAATAAATTATATTTTTGCATAAAGTGATAACAAAATAATAAACCAAAGCAGATCTTTTCATGGTAAACAATCAAATAAGGCATACTAAAGTACATCTCGTACTGTATATTACTAGTTAAAACAGTAGTAAAAAGTAGATTTATTTTTCACTGTAAACTACAAAACATAAAAATAAATGCATGTAACTATAAACTTTTAACAAAGTAAACTAGATCTTGTTAAGTGTAAATGTTAAATTGGTTATTGATTGGCACATTTCTGTCTTTCCAGATGATAGTGTTGTATTGCGCTATGAGGAGGCATGAGACTCACAGCCCATGGCGATGGCGAGTGTGACTAGCAAAACCCGCCTGTGTCAAGAAAAGTCTTCCACAATGATAGCATGGGATTTCAGGACCATTGTTAACAAAATTTGTGTTTAATCCGTTTCTTTTCAGACGCTCAGCTCTCATCCTTTCTGCAATCATTTCTTCCTTCAGTCTCATTCCCTTCCTGATATGCCCTTTCCACACAACACGGTCCATGGCATTTTGTTCCCATGAGTCTGCCTCAATACCTGTATCATTCATGTCCCACTTGCATGTATCTTTATACCGTAGTAGAGGTCAGCCTCGACATCTTCTTCTTGTCTTTTGTAAATGCAAATTGTGTAAATGTTAACTACACCACAAAATGTTTTTTTTTTCTTTACTGTACATTGTTAGCTAAACCATGTAGATCTTTTACACCTAGCTAAGACTGAAAAATACAGGGTGTTCCCCATAAGTTTTCCATAGGAAAAATAAATAGATCACTAATGCCACTATAAGCATAACTCCAACTGTACTTGTACATGTTCTGTTGTAAATAAAAACTGTTTGAATTTTTTTTTTTAAGGTTTTTTTTTCCTATCTATGGAAAATTATGGGACACCCTGCAAGCACTCACTATCTACAGCTGACTGACTTACTTGCTAGCACATTTTTTCTTCACATGGGCATGCTGTTCCATCTCAGGCGGCCTGTCCTCATCAACATCACCCGCCAGCACCTTTAGTGCAACATCCCGTTTCTTCTCGGCCGCCCGGATCTCTTCTATCAGAGCTGGAAATTACAAACCACATGTCTTTATAATCTCTTCTATCAGAGCTGGAAATTACAAACCAAATGTCTTTATGATCTCTTCTATCACAGCTGGAAATTACAAACCACATGTCTTGATGATCTCTTCTATCAGAGCTGGAAATTACAAACCACATGTCTTTATAATCTCTTCTATCACAGCTGGAAATTACAAACCAAATGTCTTTATGATCTCTTCTATCACAGCTGGAAATTACAAACCACATGTCTCGATGATCTCTTCTATCAGAGCTGGAAATTACAAACCACATGTCTTTATAATCTCTTCTATCAGAGCTGGAAATTACAAACCAAATGTCTTTACGTTGTCTTCTATAAGAGCTGAAAATTATAAACCAAAAGTCTTTATGATCTCTTCTATAAGAGCTGGAAATTACAAACCAAATGTCTTTATTATGTCTTCTAAAAGAGCTGGAAATTACAAACCAAATGTCTTTATGATCTCTTCTATAAGAGCTGGAAATTACAAACCAAAAGTCTTTATGATCTCTTCTATAAGAGCTGGAAATTATAAACCACATGTCTTTATGTTGTCTTCTATAAGAGCTGGAAATTACAAACCAAAAGTCTTTATGATCTCTTCTATAAGAGCTTGAAATTATAAACCACATGTCTTTATGATCTCTTCTATCAGAGCTGGAAATTAGAAACCACATGTCTTTATAATATCTTCTATCAGAGCTGGAAATTACAAACCAAAAGTATTTATGATCTCTTCTTTCAGAGCTGGAAATTAGAAACCAAATGTCTGTCTTTATCTGTAAGGCATTTATTGCAAATATTTAATTTGTAAAAAAAAAAAAATTATCTTTGGCTTTGAGGTTGACTTCATTCCTGATTTTATTTCTTCAGGGTATTCCTAATTACTAAATACATGGATTGAAAGTTAAATACATTTGAAAACAGATGCCTGAGAAAATGCTGAACACAAAATGGGATGAATTCAAGAGAGTTAAAGAAATAAGAGAAATGCCTGGGTAACCACTGGTGACAACAGTTTTAAGACAAAGAAGATTGTGCTATATCAGACCCATCCTGAGAAAAAGTTTGAAGTTTGAACAACGGATCAACATCATGGCACCCAGGTAGTAACCCATAAGTGCCCCGTTCTTCTTCTAACTCAAGTCTGAGTCCAAAGAAGCTCAGCACAGTGCACAGGCTCTGTAGCACTGGAGAGGATCCTGAAATTACTTTGGGTAGATTTCCAACTGCCAACAGATTTTTTTACGTACGTAATAATGCACACAGGCGTCCAATCCCACTACCCAGAGACCAGGGGAATTACTAGAAGTCCAAGTCCTTGTGAAAAAATTCCAGAGAAGAAACGAGCAGAGAATCACCAAACAGGCACTGAAAGGAGAAATAAAAGTACTGAAGAAATGACTGAATTCCATCCACGATATAGAAAGGACTGTACAGGGCAGAACAGAATGGAGAAATAGACTAGAAGCGTTATGAGGTTTGAACAGCGGACCAACATCTTGGCACACGGGTAGTAACCCATAAGTATTCTGTTCTTCTTCTAACTCAAGTCTGAGTCCAAAGAAGCTAAGCACTGTGCACAGGCTCTGTAGCACCGAAGAATATCCTGAAATACTTTGGGTAGAATTTTAACTCAAAATTTTGCCCGGGCAGCTCCGTTAGGCTACTCTTTTCAATTTCTAACTGCCAAGGGATTTTTTAGGTGCGCAACAATGCACACGGGCGTCCAATCTCACTACCCAGAGACCAGGGAGAATTACTAGAAGTCCAAGTCCACGTGAAAAAATACCAGCCCTTACCAGGAATAGAACCCGGAACCTTTGGCACTTGAGGTGGACATCACGCATCAAGACCTACGAGCGCTAAGCCAGATGTATTAGCAAAACAGGACAATGATGATGATAATGGGTAGCCCTGCAACCTTTCTTGGGCATCATCTTCTTCTTCTTCTTTCTTCACGAGCGGTAAGCTCCAATTTAGAGTCCTGGTTGTTCTACCCTTTGGACGTCAGCTTTGTGCCAAGGCCTGAGTTTTGCATGTGCATCCATGTTACTAGCTCAATCTATGTCCAGTTGGTTCTATCTTGCCGAAGTAAGCTCCCAGTTAGTTGACTCTTACGACATGCTTGTTGGGGAGACAGTGGGACTTTTCTTGAATCCTCTCAATGGGGCCTCGGAACCCACATGGGGACCAGGCATCTAATTTCCATGGCTATTAATTCTGGTACACCGCTGATTTTAACATGTAAACAATATGGTAAACAACAATGAACTTGAAAAAACTGTAACAACAAATCTCACATCCAAGCCTATTTAGGCTGACATCCTCTGCATTCTTTGTATTGCTGTTCAGCGACTCAATCTCATGACTGGCTTTTGTCAGCTTCTCTCTCAGCTGGTAAAGGAACAACAATGTATACAATTATGCAATATGTACAATTGTTGAAACAAATAACAAAGTATTGAAATCCTCTCCTTTTTAGCGATCACTGACAGTAAACTTTCTTTGTCAACTGAGATGAGAAAGAGAATTCTTAAAAGCTATATGATATATGAAAGTGAATCATGGACAGTTGATGGATTAATGGAAACATATTTAGAAGCTGCGATATGGTTTTATAGACGGATGATGAGAACACCCTGGATAGATAAAAAGAGTTATGAAAACATCTTGAAACAAACTGACTCACAAAGAGAACTGATTGCTCAAATCTTACTTACTTACTTTTACTTATTCCTTCCACGTATGCCGCTAAGCGTTGTGGGGAGATGCAAGTTCCTGTCATAAGCAAGGCGGGCAGCATCTGATGTTCTGAGGCCATGCTTTTGGCAGGTTTCGGAGACCCCGTCAATCCACTGTTTCCTTGGTCTTCCTCTTGCCCTATATCCTGAGCTTCTTTGGTTGAAAATTTGTGATGTTATTTGATCATTTTTCATCCTGGTTAGATGTCCAAACCATTTCATTCTTTGATGTTTTATGTAGTCTAAACATGGTGTAGTTTTGACAGTGTTTCTAATGTCTATATTCTTTATCCTGTCTAGTCTGGTCTTATTCGCTGCTTTTCTTAGACATTTCATTTCACAGGCTTCTATTTTTCTTTCATGGGTCTTGTTGCTCAAATCACAAATAGATAATCAACATTCTTTGGTCATGTGATGAGAAAGAGAAAACTGGAGTACATCATGACAGTAGGAAAGTTGGAGGAAAGGAGTGGCAGAGGGAGACAGAGAGAACAGATGCTGGACAGTGTGACATCATGGCATGGAAGATTATCTGTGTCAGACATGACTACCAATGCCACATGGCATGGACTAAGAAGAAGAAGAAAGTAAACTCCTGTGGTAAGTTCTGCTGGCAATGATTTTGTGCAACCTTCTGTTTGTGGCTTTGTTCAAACAAGAACACTTCAGTGATGCTGAATGGTGCTACTGGACCCTTTCGGCTCATTTACACACAGCCCTACATGGATATTTTACACTATTATTAATATATTCCACAGAAAACATGTCCTTTTTTGGATACAGAAAGGAGGGGGTTGGGGGAGAAAATGACAGAGAGAAACCCTTTTGCCCTGTAAAAATCTTACAAGAAAGACTTTTTAAAAATTATGATTAAAAAAAATGCATAGTTATAATTCTTTGAAACTCTACTCTATGAAACTAGAGGGAGAGAAGAAGAGGAAGAAATTTGTCACTTTTTATAAAATTCTAGTGGTTGACATCTATGACCACCAAGCAGACAGGCAAGCCTTCTGCTATTGCATGCTCGCAGCTCCCAAGTCATTAAAAAGATGGATTTTCATTAAAAAGATAATTTTTTTTCAATGAAGGGAAGTAATTTTTAAATACAATTAATCATTAAATACAAATAAGGCAAAGAAATAACTGCACTCCTTCCCTTTGGTCAAGAAAATGGGTTTTGTTGACACTGCCATAGAAAGCAAAGTGACGGCAACATGCGGTTATTTTGGTGTCACAATGACCCCACCCCTACCTTTCCAAAATCGATTTTATTTCGCCCCCCCCCCCCCCCCCCCCCCCCCCACCACCAAAGAAAAATAATAATAATTTCAAACAAATATTCACATCTGCCATCTGATTACTTTGCCACCCCTCTGGTGAGATGCAATTTTTCATTATTTCGAAGCATTAATATAACCTATCAGTTGAAAAAGACTTCCTGGACCTCTCCACGGGTGATCCTCAGCCGCATGGTGGCACTTTGGGTCACCGGGTGTTTATTGTTCTGTGTGATGTCCTAGTGGGGTAAAATATACTTACTTATACTTGCATTATGGAGTTGCAACCAGTACCAAAGCGACTAAACTTGTGAAAAAAGGTCCTGTGAAGTCGGACGTGTCAGGTGAGAAGCGCAACTATCACATCTATTGCTAGGCTCGCTAGCACAGTTGGCTAAACCTGACTGCGCGGCGACTATGTGATGAACTTGTGGTTCAGGTAAACGCCCGAGGGGTAGGAAGAAAAACTAAATTTCTTCATGATTTACGGTATCTATCATGGAATCAAGGCCGAAGGGTTGCAATATCCATAGTATCGAGCCAAATGGTTAACAACTCATGATTTCTGGATACTAAAAAAAAAAATCACATCTATTCCGAGGACAGACACAATGCAATTACATTTCCAATGAATGATAAAGAAGAAGAAGATGTAGCCATACTGGCCACTGTCCAAAAATGTCAGTCATCAAAAAATTGTCAAAGTCGGAAAACCAGCATTCTTGGGGCAACATGGTTGAGAAAGACTAACACATCCGAACCTTACCTCTTCATTTTCCTTCTTCAGCGTTGCAATCTCGATGAGCAGCCTCGATGTCTGGCTGACATAATCTGGCTCCAAGTCAGCTGGATGATATCTATGACTGCTGTATGGGGTGAGGCGAGGCTGAAGTAATACTGGCTGGGTAGCACTAGGGTTGGCGAGGTCATGCAGCGATGGAAGAGATGTAGAATAAGCAGAAAACTGAAGAGTTGGCTCATGTATATTAAATTTATTGTGAGTGGCGACTGGGTCTGGCAGAAGTGAGTTAGCCTGAGTGGGAATATCTTGTGGTGTAGTCTGAGTTGCTGCTGTACGTAATATCTGTTTGCTTGTCATCAAATGAGATCTTGATGTTTGTTCTTTGTCTCTCTGATCTATAAGTGGATGATATGTTGGTGGATTGGCTGAGGAAAAAAACATCACTGGAGTTAATTAATTAGTAGTATCATGTAGTAGTAATTGCATCAACAATATCCTGTTCAACTGTTCTGGGTTATAATTAGGATATATAGAGGTATTGTTCTTTTTTTTCAATACTGGATATTTATATTTATAAATTACTTTAGGTTATTTACTACTGCAGATCTTCTTCTTCCTCTTCTTCGCATTCACAGGTTTTAAACTCTGGCGAAAAGTTTTTCTGGTTGTTCATCCACTTCTGGGCTTTGGTCTTGTTCGAGAACTTGAGTTGTGCATTTACATCCATTTTACAGATCTGGCTTATTTGAGTACACAAAACATTTAGGTTTAGGGGACCTCCAGCACTCTAGGCGGATGCAATGCCTCGAGATCACGCAGCCCCTTAACTTTGAGTACACAAAACATTTAGGTTTAGGGGACCTCCAGCACTCGAGGCGGATGCAGTGCCTCGAGATCATGCAGCCCCTTAACTTTGAGTACACTATAAATGCACTGTAGATGCTTTGCCTCTTAGGCAGTTCTCTCTGATTATAAAGGAAAGTTTATCCTTAATACATATATATATATATATATATATATATATATATATATATATATATATATATATATATATATATATATATATATATATATATATATATATATATATATATATATATATATATATATATATATATATATATATATATATATCAACCCCAGCACTGACTGTTGTGTGTTTTTCTAGGCAAATTTACGTCCAGTAGATTGCCATTGCTTTCTGGACGGTCGACTTCTCAATGTCACTGTCGAAACCAACGCAAGGCCTGCAGCTGGGTTCGAAACCGGCACCCAGGCATTATTAAGCACGTGTGCAACGCCTAAGCCACAGACGCCGACATTATATTTACACATATATAAAATAAATTATCCTCTATATGCTGGTCAGGTTTCCGGTTGAGAACATGTTTCTAGACTGCCTGCGGAGAGGAGTAGATAGGTCTGAACCAGGTTTCTGGCTGAGAACATGTTTCTAGATTGCCTGAGGAGAGGTATAGTTAGGTCTTAAACAGATTTCCGGCTGAGAACATGTTTCTAGATTGCCTGAGGAGAGGTATAGTTAGGTCTTAAACAGGTTTCCGGCTGAGAACATGTTTCTGCATTGCCTGAGGAAAGGTATAGTTAGGTCTTAAACAGATTTCCGGCTGAGAACATGTTTCTACATTGCCTGAGGAGAGGTATAGTTAGGTCTTAAACAGGTTTTCGGCTGGGAACATGTTTCTACATTGCCTGAGGAGAGGTATAGTTAGGTCTTAACCTGGTTTTCGGCTGGGAACATGTTTCTACATTGCCTGAGGAGAGGTATAGTTAGGTCTTAAACAGATTTCCGGCTGAGAACATGTTTCTACATTGCCTGAGGAGAGGTATAGTTAGGTCTTAAACAGATTTCCCGCTGAGAACATGTTTCTACATTGCCTGAGGAGAGGTATAGTTAGGTCTTAAACAGATTTCCAGCTGAGAACATGTTTCTACATTGCCTGAGGAGAGGTATAGTTAGGTCTTAACCTGGTTTTCGGCTGGGAACATGTTTCTGCATTGCCTGAGGAGAGGTATAGTTAGGTCTTAAACAGATTTCCCGCTGAGAACATGTTTCTACATTGCCTGAGGAGAGGTATAGTTAGGTCTTAAACAGATTTCCAGCTGAGAACATGTTTCTACATTGCCTGAGGAGAGGTATAGTTAGGTCTTAACCTGGTTTTCGGCTGAGAACATGTTTCTACATTGCCTGAGGAGAGGTATAGTTAGGTCTTAAACAGATTTCCCGCTGAGAACATGTTTCTACATTGCCTGAGGAGAGGTATAGTTAGGTCTTAAACAGATTTCCAGCTGAGAACATGTTTCTACATTGCCTGAGGAGAGGTATAGTTAGGTCTTAAACAGGTTTTCGGCTGAGAACATGTTTCTACATTGCCTGAGGAGAGGTATAGTTAGGTCTTAAACAGATTTCCAGCTGAGAACATGTTTCTACATTGCCTGAGGAGAGGTATAGTTAGGTCTTAAACAGATTTCCGGCTGAGAACATGTTTCTACATTGCCTGAGGAGAGGTATAGTTAGGTCTTAAACAGATTTCCGGCTGAGAACATGTTTCTACATTGCCTGAGGAGAGGTATAGTTAGGTCTTAACCTGGTTTTCGGCTGAGAACATGTTTCTACATTGCCTGAGGAGAGGTATAGTTAGGTCTTAAACAGATTTCCGGCTGAGAACATGTTTCTACATTGCCTGAGGAGAGGTATAGTTAGGTCTTAAACAGGTTTTCGGCTGAGAACATGTTTCTACATTGCCTGAGGAGAGGTATAGTTAGGTCTTAAACAGATTTCCGGCTGGGAACATGTTTTTACATTGCCTGAGGAGAGGTATAGTTAGGTCTTAAACAGATTTCCGGCTGGGAACATGTTTCTACATTGCCTGAGGAGAGGTATAGTTAGGTCTTAACCTGGTTTTCGGCTGGGAACATGTTTCTACATTGCCTGAGGAGAGGTATAGTTAGGTCTTAACCTGGTTTTCGGCTGGGAACATGTTTCTACATTGCCTGAGGAGAGGTATAGTTAGGTCTTAACCTGGTTTTCGGCTGGGAACATGTTTTTACATTGCCTGAGGAGAGGTATAGTTAGGTCTTAAACAGGTTTCCGGCTGAGAACATGTTTCTACATTGCCTGAGGAGAGGTATAGTTAGGTCTTAAACAGATTTTCGGCTGAGAACATGTTTCTACATTGCCTGAGGAGAGGTATAGTTAGGTCTTAAACAGGTTTTCGGCTGAGAACATGTTTCTACATTGCCTGAGGAGAGGTATAGTTAGGTCTTAAACAGATTTCCGGCTGGGAACATGTTTTTACATTGCCTGAGGAGAGGTATAGTTAGGTCTTAAACAGATTTCCGGCTGGGAACATGTTTCTACATTGCCTGAGGAGAGGTATAGTTAGGTCTTAACCTGGTTTTCGGCTGGGAACATGTTTTTCTACATTGCCTGAGGAGAGGTATAGTTAGGTCTTAACCTGGTTTTCGGCTGGGAACATGTTTCTACATTGCCTGAGGAGAGGTATAGTTAGGTCTTAACCTGGTTTTCGGCTGGGAACATGTTTTTACATTGCCTGAGGAGAGGTATAGTTAGGTCTTAAACAGGTTTCCGGCTGAGAACATGATTCTACATTGCCTGAGGAGAGGTATAGTTAGGTCTTAACCTGGTTTTCGGCTGGGAACATGTTTTTACATTGCCTGAGGAGAGGTATAGTTAGGTCTTAACCTGGTTTTCGGCTGAGAACATGTTTCTACATTGCCTGAGGAGAGGTATAGTTAGGTCTTAAACAGGTTTCCGGCTGAGAACATGTTTCTACATTGCCTGAGGAGAGGTATAGTTAGGTCTTAACCTGGTTTTCGGCTGAGAACATGTTTCTACATTGCCTGAGGAGAGGTATAGTTAGGTCTTAAACAGGTTTCCGGCTGAGAACATGTTTCTACATTGCCTGAGGAGAGGTATAGTTAGGTCTTAAACAGGTTTCCGGCTGGGAACATGTTTTTACATTGCCTGAGGAGAGGTATAGTTAGGTCTTAAACAGGTTTCCGGCTGAGAACATGTTTCTACATTGCCTGAGGAGAGGTATAGTTAGGTCTTAAACAGGTTTCCGGCTGAGAACATGTTTCTACATTGCCTGAGGAGAGGTATAGTTAGGTCTTAAACAGGTTTCCGGCTGGGAACATGTTTCTACATTGCCTGAGGAGAGGTATAGTTAGGTCTTAAACAGATTTCCGGCTGAGAACATGTTTCTACATTGCCTGAGGAGAGGTATAGTTAGGTCTTAAACAGGTTTCCGGCTGGGAACATGTTTCTACATTGCCTGAGGAGAGGTATAGTTAGGTCTTAAACAGGTTTCCGGCTGAGAACATGTTTCTACATTGCCTGAGGAGAGGTATAGTTAGGTCTTAAACAGGTTTCCGGCTGAGAACATGTTTCTACATTGCCTGAGGAGAGGTATAGTTAGGTCTTAAACAGGTTTCCGGCTGGGAACATGTTTCTACATTGCCTGAGGAGAGGTATAGTTAGGTCTTAAACAGGTTTCCGGCTGAGAACATGTTTCTACATTGCCTGAGGAGAGGTATAGTTAGGTCTTAACCTGGTTTTCGGCTGGGAAAATGTTTCTACATTGCCTGAGGAGAGGTATAGTTAGGTCTTAACCTGGTTTTCGGCTGGGAACATGTTTCTACATTGCCTGAGGAGAGGTATAGTTAGGTCTTAACCTGGTTTTCGGCTGGGAACATGTTTCTACATTGCCTGAGGAGAGGTATAGTTAGGTCTTAACCTGGTTTTCGGCTAGGAACATGTTTCTACATTGCCTGAGGAGAGGTATAGTTAGGTCTTAAACAGATTTCCGGCTGAGAACATGTTTCTACATTGCCTGCAGAGAGGTATAGTTAGGTCTTAAACAGATTTTCGGCTGGGAACCAGTTTCTAGATTGCCTGCGGAGAGGTGTAGGGAGGTCAGTGCATCACTATGTGCGGTTCAGTACCTGTGCATCCCGGTTTCTTTGTTCAAATAAATACTATCAACAGCATGATGTGTACATATTCTATTTGACCTATAAGTGGATGTCACAGCTCTAAGCCATTCTTTATGTGTTCTTAACATTCACCAGCTGTAAACTCCAGCACAGTATTCTGCTTGTTTGCCCACTCCTGGTCTTTGGTCTTGATCCAGAACTTTCTGTGCACTTCAGTTTTACAGATCTGATTTATTTGCATGCAGACTGTTGATTCCTTGCCTCTCATGCAGTGGCACTCCAATTTTGAATTAAATACTCCTAATTAGTGACCTCCTATGACATGCTTGTTAGGTAGGTGTCTACTTTTTTTCTCTAAGAATTCACCGTTTGGGTTCGGATCCTGATTGTGTCAAAAACAAGAATAAACCCACTTCCTCCCCAACAAGCATTTGTAAGAGTTGACTGACTAAGGGGCTTCCTTCAAAGTCAGAGTACATCTGCCTTAGAGGCAAGGTACCAAAAATCTGCAAACAAATAGGTCAGATTCACGAAACGGATGTGCTTGCAACACTCAGATTGTGGAACAAGACTAAAGTCCAGAGGTTTCAAACAACCAGAACTTTCCGCCAGAGTTTACTGCTGGTCAAGAGGAAGAAGATTCTTTAAAACAATGACCCAGAACCCATATGGAAACTCTTCATGTAATAATGAGTTACTTTTGCTGATAAATAATCTATGCACAAGGGAACCTTTCCACTGCAGGGGCAGATAAGGCATATGATACTCAACTCATATTTTTATAGACCAGTCGGCATTTGATGGATGAGATGGTCATTGTGCTGGTCTCCTTTACTTCATCTCACTTTTCCTGGAACCCATTCTTGGGTGCTTTGTATGTGTATGTTGTGTGCCAGTCAGTCAGTCAGTGTGTGTGCGTGCGTGCATGTGTGTGTGTGTGTGCGCGCACATGTGTGTATGTGTGTGTGTATACCAACCTGCATGTGCACCAACTTGAGGAAGACCTTGGTAGATGGAAGATTCTTGACTGCTCCAGCTGACAGGGGACAGCTGGCCAGCATATACATTCGGGCTGATGTATGGGGGCAGCAGCTGTGATATGGACATGAGAGAAGACCAGTCTTGACCAGGGTCCAAAAGAGAATTATCCGGTGGTTGTCCTAGATCTCTACTGGAGAAATAATTTTCTCCTAGGGAAGGATCCAACTGTCTTGGTCTGGAGAGCTGATCTGAGTTTTCATGTAGATGGTGGAGAGATTCTTCTTGTCTGCCTGTAAAAACAAATACAACTTCACCATCATCAAGTGCCTTGCCGACTGGCATGGATGATCATGCCTCTCCACAATCTGCGATCTGCAACTGCGTGTATCAGTTCATGTGTTGACACCCCTCCTTTCCATGACAAAAGACTGTCAAAGAATCTTTTCACGCTGTCTTCCTCTTATCTTTACACACACACCTTATCTTTACACTAAAAGGGAAATTTCTTCCTTTCCCTTTTTTTAAAACAAATAACTTTATTTCCAAAGGATTCCAAATTGGGCATGCAAGCCAATTTAAATTCGGCCCTTCCAAACACCCATCTTTAATAACAATTGTATTTTATTATCAATGAGGCATGTTATGTTCACATAACAATTACAAAATATGAATATCAAGTTTTTAAAAAAAGCATGTATGCATACAAACATACGTAGATGTACACAAACACGTGCACACACACATATAAACACACATACTTAGATACAAACATAAATACACACATACATACACACTCATACATACATGAACACTCATGCTCATACACACACTCATACATACACATGCATAAGCACCTATATAAATACACATGTGTTCATACATACACAAGCAATTAGGTATACACCTGCAGGCATGCATCCACATTCATACATGCACTCACACACATGCATACACATATACACACTCACAAAAACAAACATACACATTCATACATCCTCATACATAATAGCAGGCAGCTAGTTATTCTGTGACAATATATATGTATGTTAAATGGCACAACAAGGTGCTTATTATTATTTCAGAGGAGCTGCAGTAGCCCAGTGGCCAGTATGCTTGCTACTGGCTGTTGGTCGTATGTTCAAATCCTAGCCAAGGCAGATTGGTAAAACTGACCTCGGCTCCCAGGCCGACCTAGGCTAAAACTGTTACCAGAAAAAGTAGAAAGTAAACATTTCTGACATAACAATGGCCATATCAGCCATCAATCGTACCAACTAGTCTATAAAAATAAAGCATGGATAGAGCATATTTCATCACTTGATATGAATTAGGTTGGTGGATAATTATGAATCTCTGACACTAACATGATTACATGACATGAAAGTAAAGCATGGTGAAGCCCGTCTATGTCGCCTTCAAGACTGAGATAGGCAACATACTACTCTTTTCAATTTCCAACTGCCAAGGCATTTTTTAAGTGCGCAATGATACACACCGGTGTCTGATCTTACTATCCAGAGACCAGGGGAAATTACTAGAAGTCCACATGAAAAAAAAAAAAACAGGGACCTCCAGTACTTGAGGCAGATACCATGCCTCGAGACCATTCAGCCCCCGCTCTCATAACTCATTACAGTGTGACCTAATATATATTTCACTCCCACCACTAGGGCTATTTCTCCTATGAGACTAATCAAGTGAAGAAGGGAAGTGATTACCCCACTCATAATGTTGTAACCTAGCATATGTTGAAGTCTACCAACCCCACCACTGAGGCTATATCTGCTCTGGGACAAGCCAACCTTACATTTATGTAACAGCTGTTGTGGTATAAAGATGTGTCACACTCAACAATGTATTGATCAGTCAAATGAACACACCCACAAGCAGGCTGAGATAGAGGTAAAAGGTGGCATAGGCCCTGTGTGTTACGTAGTCACAGAGGGGAGGTAACATCTTTACTCCCCATTAGTAGTTTCTCTCCCCTAGTCATCGTCATTATCATCATCATCATTATTATCCTGACCTTCCATATGGGTCACTCAGTGTTGTTGGAAGGAATAGTCTGAGGTCCAGATGCTCAATGAGCAGCACTGGTTATTGTCATTCCATGTGTATCAATAATGTCTTTAACATCATCTGTCTTTCTTCTCCTTGAGTGCCCTCTAGGTCTCACATCTGACTTTTAGGTGTAACACCTGTGTAGGTAGCTACATTTTGACAAGATGACCAAACCATCTGGATTGAGTCTCAACGAATTTGGAGAAAGAGGTTGTTCTTACAATCTGTCTAATTGCATCATTTCTTATTTGCTCTCGGAGGTAGGTGATTCACTGGAAAAAGAAAAATTGTCACTTTCAACCAGCATTCCTGAAGGAGGAGCTTTAGGTTATAATTGTGCCTAGGCTATGTGCGCCTTATAAAATAGCTTAGCACTGCACGCTATCGGGAGCCCTGACAAGGACTCCTGCAGTGTTGATATGCAATCAAAGGAGACAGGCCCAAATACTGTCCAGACCGGTAGCAAAGTCGTCTACTGGCGAGCCAATGGGTGACCCATTCACTGACACTGTTACTCTTGGATGGTTTTATCAATGTATATAGGTGAGTCTCTGGCAATGCCAAATTTTGGCACTTGCAACACAGCGTTAGTCTGAACATGCCAGCTGTTATCTGTTTATTCTCTAGTACCAAACTTAAGATATATAACTCCAATATCAAATTAGAACTGCAATACGATACCATTCTCTGCATCTGTGGCTTAAGTGTTTTGCGAACACACTTCATAATTTCCAGATCCTCCGCTTCTTCTTCTTTTGTCGTTTCACTGATACCAGGTTGTAACCCAGTGTCATGGTTCTCTGCATTTGTCTTGCAGTTCTTGGGTGGCTTGGCTGATGGATTTGTTCATCTTTTTGCAGGTTTCGGCTACACCATTTATCAATCTCTTTCCTGGTCTTCCTCTTGCCTTCCTCCCAGATGTTCTGCTGTAAAAACTCCCATATGCAGTTTGGCCTGGCTGCATTCCAAAATAACATGTTCAAATCAAGCTGTGGCCGATATGGTAGCTGACCGCCTTGCACTGGTTTTGATAATGGCATCGAGATCCAGTCATTCAGAAAGCAACGGCAACTACTAAATGTAAAACTGTCTAGTCAAATCAAACAGCCAAAACATGCTGGGGTTAGTTCTGCCATGTCCTGTAAAGGACACACAACTAAGTTTTAACAATACCATAAACTGTCAAACTGTCACTGTCAAATACCATCAACTGTCAAACTGTCACTGTCAAATACCATCAACTGTCAAAATGTCACTGTCAAATACCATCAACTGTCAAAATGTCACTGTCAAATACCATCAACTGTCAAACTGTCACTGTCAAATACCATCAACTGTCAAACTGTCACTGTCAAATACCATTAACTGTCACTGTCAAATACCATCAACTGTCACTGTCAAATACCATCAACTGTCAAACTGTCCCTGTTAAATACCATCAACTGTCACTGTCAAATACCATTAACTGTCCCTGTCAAATACCATCAACTGTCACTGTCAAATACCATCAGCTGTCAAACTGTCACTGTCAAATACCATCAACTGTCACTGTCAAATACCATCAACTGTCAAAATGTCACTGTCAAATACCATCAACTGTCAAAATGTCACTGTCAAATACCATCAACTGTCAAACTGTCGCTGTCAAATACCATCAACTGTCACTGTCAAATACCATCAACTGTCAAACTGTCACTGTCAAATACCATCAACTGTCACTGTCAAATACCATTAACTGTTTCTGTCAAATACCATCAACTGTAACTGTCAAATACCATCAACTGTCACTGTCAAATACCATCAACTGTCACTGTCAAATACCATCAACTGTCACTGTCAAATACCATCAACTGTCAAACTGTCACTGTCAAATACCATCAACTGTCAAACTGTCACTGTCAAATACCATCAACTGTCCCTGTCAAATACCATCAACTGTTCCTGTGAAATACCATCAACTGTCAAACTGTCAATGTCAAATACCATCAACTGTCAAACTGTCACTGTCAAATACCATCAACTGTCAAACTGTCACTGTCAAATACCATCAACTGTTAAACTGTCACTGTCAAATACCATCAACACTCTGTTAAAATACTTACATGCACATACAAAATGCTGTTACTACATTCTTCCTACCCTGATGCCTCAAAGCAGTCAGAAGCAGAGAACAGAAGATGAAGACTACACTGTTAAACAGAAATACACTAAAAACAGACAACTCACCAGATGAAACAGCAGGCGGTTGATGTGACATAACATCTACAACAACATGACTTCTGCAAGCAGAGCTGTTAGAGAAAGCAAACTACACTTGAAGCAAGCTCCATGTCAGACAGACTGCTGGGTGCATTACCACAAGCAAACAAACAACATTAACGCTGAAAGCATAGACAGCCATTATTTGTTGCAGGCAATTTAACACCCCCCCCCCCCCCCCCATTCACCAATGCTAAAAGAATGGATTATGACCCTGTGGAAATTCTTTTTTTTTTTTAAACAATTTTACATAGGTTACTAATAAATTTGTGTTAATTTATTTATGTGCATTTTCAAAACAAAACAAAAACAAAAAAATTGAAATATCTGAAGATAAATAAAGAAGGGTAATCAACAAACATGAACAGAGTGAAGCACTAAATGGAATCCATTGCCTGGTGCTTAAAAAATATATGTATTAGGTGACTCATGCCATGACCTTCATCACTGATACCTACAGAAACATTTGACTTCAAAATGGCTTTTTAAAAAAAAAAATGTAGTTCGAAGAACCATAATACCATATTTTTAATTAATTTGCAAATTTTCTGGGTAATTTGCAGAAGCAGAAACAATTATCACAGCATACCCATCAGAGATAACCAAGGCAGACTGCTCACCACAGAACAAAATCAAGACATGCAGTGGACTAAACACTTCTCCGACCTCTTGAACAGACCTGATCCTGAAAATCCCCCAGATATTCAACCAGCCTCTCAGGACATTGACATTATTACTGAACCACCAAGCAAACAAGAAATCCTTAAAGCTATCCACACTTTAAAGAACAACAAAGCACCAGGCAAAGATGAACTGCCAGCAGAACTTCTCAAAGTAGATCCCAACACAACTGCTAGCATTCTAGAACCATTGTTCAAGGATATTTGGAAAAAAGAAGTGTTGCCTGATGACTGGACTGAAAGAACAATAGTCCAAATCCCCAAAGAAAGGAGACTTAACAGACTGCAGTAATTGGAGGGGAATTACTCTACTCTCAGTACCAAGCAAAATATTTTGTAAAATCAACATAATGAGGCTTGAAAAAGGAGTAGATAAATGCCTACGAGTGGAACAAGCAGGATTCAGAAAGGGCAGAGGAACAACTGAACACATCCTTGCCATACGCAACATCTTAGAACAATGCAATGAATGGCAGAGAAGTATATATATTAATTTTGTGGACTTTGAGAAAGCTTTTGACAGCGTACATAGAGACAGTCTATGGAAAATTTTTCCAGAAAAAATAGTCAACATAATTGCTCTCTTCTATAAAGACTTTTCCTGCAGTATAAAAAATTACAATACATCTTTCCCAGTAAAGACAGGTGTAAGACAGGGATGTGTTATGTCATCTCTCCTCTTCAACCTTGTGATTGATTGGATACTAAAGAACACAGTAGACAGAACATTGAGAGGCATACGATGGACTCCATTCACCATGCTTGAGGACCTTGATTTTGCAGATGATATAGCACACCTATCACATACACATGAACATATACAAGAGAAAAGTAACAGACTACACAGCACAGCAGAAATGGTGGGACTGAGAATAAATACATTGAAAACTAAAATCATGACAAGCAGTCCAAACCAACAACCAGTGACCATAAATAACCAAACTCTTGAAAATGTAGAACATTTCACATATCTTGGCAGTGTGGTGTCCCTGCCGGAAGGGACCGAAGAGGACATACGGTCACGTCTGAGCAAAGCTAGAGCTGCTTTTGGAAGGTTGAGGCAAATCTGGAAATCCAACAATTACTGCAGAGGAATGAAACTCCGACTCTACAAGAGCATCATTTTGCCAGTTCTTCTTTATGGAGTGGAATGCTGGAGAATGACCAAAAAGGATGCACACAAGCAGTCTACCTTCCACCACACATGTCTATGTAGAATTTTCAAAATTTTCTGGCCAGATACAATCTCAAACACTAAACTACTTTAAGTCACAAACCAAGAGTTTGATAACCAAGAAAAGATGGAAATGGCTTGGCCACGTTATGAGAATGAATCCTGATATACCAAAACAGCTTTCACATGGACACCAGAGGGAAAGAGAAAACAGGGGCGCCCAAAAACAACATGGAGACGAACGATGGAAAGTGACTTGAGTGCGGCATCTATGACATGGAAAACTGCACTAAAGATTGCACAGAACAGGAAAGCATGGAAAGTCCTCCCTGAAGCCTCATGTGCCACTAGGCACAACGAGAACTGATTTAATTACTTTAATAACATCCTGACATCATAAATGTTTGCTTAGGCATGAACACAGCGAACAGTAAAAAGTCATCCCCTTTTGGGATGTAATTTTTTTATTTTTAAGCTCCACCCTGGCTTTTGCCAGGGGCACCAAATATGGCCTAATGGCTGTACAGGGTTTCCAGGACCTCTCCACGGGTGACCCTCATCCGTGTGGCACTTTATGTCACAGGGTGTTTATCGCTTATGTGATGTCCTGGTGGGGTACAACTTACCTTACCTTACCACAGCCAATAGCATTAGCTATATGTCTCGTAAACAGCTCACTACAGACAGGTAGAAAAAGTGACATTTAGGGGCTTGGTCCACCAGGAAGTGTTGGTTCTGCGGTTACTCGTGGGGACAGGGTTAAACTGCCCCAAATTATACAGCTCCTTATGAAACCTAAACACTGTTTTCTTTGCTTCTGCGGGTTAACACTAATCTGTCTATCCTACGCTCAGGTCTTTTTTCTTCTGGTGGTATGCAAAAGCGACACTTTTTTTTTTTTTTTAGGTATTGTTTTTTGTTAAATTTGTAGCTCTATTATTATAGGTGGTGAGTACCGGCACCTTTTGAAGTCAGTGGTTAGAACCGGCACTATAACAGATACTTTGTGGTGAGTATCTGCATCTTTTTTTTTCTAGAAAAAAAAAGCCCTACCTACACTATTCCTTTGAATGTTTTTCTTACTGTTCCATTTATGCCTTTGGTCCATGATCGTTCTCAGGTTCTGGAACAAGACTAGAGTCTACAAGTGGATGAATGATCAGAACTTTTCACTGGAGTTTAAAACCAGCAAATGTGGAGACAAAGATATCTATCTATATGTATATGTGTATATTAGATAACAAATGTGATTTCTTCCAGGTAAGATAACATGCTAACTTTTTAAAATACAGAGAACACATATTTTATGAAGCAATCATTCAAACAACCAGTTACAATAATATCTAGCATGAGGACAGACACAACATTAATGTTACATTAATGTCTAATAATAATCACTGGTGTCTTAAAATATCACATGCAATCACTGATGTCTTAAAATATCACATGCAATCACTGATGTCTTAAAATATCACATGCAATCACTGATGTCTAATACTATCACAAGCAATCACTGGTGTCTAATGATGTCACATGCAATCACTGGTGTCTAATGATGTCACATACAATCACTGGTGTCTAATGATGTCACATGCAATCACTGATGTCTAATATTATCATATGCAATCACTGATGTCTGAAAATGTCACACACAATCACTGGTGTCTAATGATGTCACATGCAATCACTGGTGTCTTATAATATCATATGCAATCACTGGTGTCTGAAAATGTCACACACAATCACTGGTGTCTAATGATGTCACATGCAATCACTGGTGTCTGAAAATGTCACACACAATCACTGGTGTCTAATGATGTCACATGCAATCACTGGTGTCTAATATTATCATATGCAATCACTGGTGTCTGAAAATGTCACACACAATCACTGGTGTCTAATGATGTCACATGCAATCACTGGTGTTAATGATGTCAAACACAATCACTGGTGTTTAATAGGTTTGGGTTAGAAGATGGATCAACATTATGGAACAAGAGTAGTAACCCATAAGTGCCTTATTCTACTTCTGAATCAAAGCCCGAGTCTGAAGAATCTCAACGCAGTGCACGAACTTCGTAGCCCCGGCGACGATCCTGAAATACTTTGGGTAGATTTTTAACTCCAAATTTTGCCCGGGCAGTGGAGTTAGGGTACTCTTTTTCGATTTCCAACTGCCAAGGGATACAGAATTTAACCGTCTCGACAGGCCTTAGGCATGCATGCAACAATGAAGTCCATTGCATCTGACCATCTAAGGTGGAGGAAGCTGATCAGACAGTCAACAGTAACTGGTGACACAATGAGACGCAGTGTTACAGGACGATGATGATAAGCTCTAAACTACAGCAAGCCAGCTGCCCTTTTAAGGAACAGAAGAATAAGAAAGACGTACACAAAAAATAAAGATTTATAACACATAACCAATACCTAGTAGTAGTAATTAAATAACAGTATCCTCTTCAACCCATCCAGGTTATAACCAGGATACAGAGGGATTTTTGCATTTCAATAATAGATATTTTTTTATGGCTATCAATTGTGTTTGATTATTCAACAGTGCATAGCTTATGTATCAGGACAGGCATGCTTCGTGCAGAGTGGCATGCCTCGCTGTGGAGAACACAGGTGAGGAGTATTGTCTGGATTTTTTTACTTAGGGAGGTCAGTGTGTTGGGAAATGAACAGGCGGTCAGACTGGCTGGCTCAGCACAGCTTGGTAGAATACTGATGATGATAAGGCAGACGTGGTTAGTGCCTTGTGGGATGGCGTGTACAGTTCAGAGGAGCAGATGGATCACCACAGACTTGTAAGATTGATGCAGAGGGGAGTGACGAGAGGTTCTGGCAGATGCTCGAGGCAAGACGGACGTTTAATCAGAATGCTACTGGCACCATTAGTATGGGAACTCTTCGCTGGCTGCTGAAGATGAGGATGGAGCTCTTATGGGAATGCCCCGAGTACAGTGATGTCAGCTCTTGAATCAAATCAAATCATGTATTAACTGTATAAGATTGCAAGAGTACAGAATTGTCAAGTTCAATATATTTTAAGCGTGCCATACCTGTTTTCCTTACTGATTTCTCTAGCTGACCCACCGTCATAAGTTTGGTAGCCATGCCTGTTTGTCATATCTTCTCCTGTAACAGAGGCCCCATCAAACCGACTATTGGACTGTTGACGATTTTTCATTATCATCACTGGTTCATGACTGGCAGTGTACATTTTTCTAGCCCGCGGTAAACGCTGCTGTAGTTCAGATATTACATCAGGATTGTTGTACAAATCTACCAGATGTTTTTGTAAGTTTTCCTCGGCAACCTGGCGTAGTTTTCGTTCCTCCTCAATGATGAAGTCTCTGTAATGTAAACAGTAGCAACATTTTCTATATAATGCGGTTAAAGTTGACATGTGGCTAAATTTGTACATAACACGAACATTGATACGAGAGGTTAGGTGTTCTGGAGAGGATTCTATCCATGATATCCAACTGATCTGGCCTGGTACAACCACAATGAAGACAAAGCTTATGCTACACGAGAGGATTTAGACTGCACGATAGCTTTCATAAAGGCTACCAGCCTCCTGATATAAGTTTTCTGACAGAAGGATCAAAGAAGAAGAATTACTGACTGCACAGGATAGTAGTAATAGTACTTTTACCCCACCAGGACATCACACAAGTGATAAACACTCGATGACACAAAGTGCCACCATGTGGATGAGGATCACCCGTGGAGAGGTCCCAGAAACCGTGTTCCGCCATTAGACCATATTTATGGCCGGGCTATATTGCGGCCCCTGGCAAGAGCTAGGGTGGGGGCTTCAAAATAACAAAAAATTGCACCCCACAAGGGGATGACTACAGTTAAATTATCCACAGGATAGAAAGGAAAGGAGGAATAGACTGTCGGCCCTATGTGACATATTATGGGACAACAGGATAATGAATAAATGAAATGAAGGTGTGAGTATAAATGTGAGTACAATGAACCTCCTATTGGAAATGGGTATTAGATGAGGACAACAAGCAGGCAGAAACTGGCTGTGGGGCAAAGAAAGATGTGCCAATTAACTTTTACTGGATACAATGAGCATGGAGACACTGAAATGGCTGCTGCATCAGAGGATGGAGTGGGTATGGGTTGGAAAATGTGCTAGGATGTCTATATGGACAAGTAATAAGTGTATGTGGATAGTATGTATGCGCATGTTTATGTGTGTTGGTGCATGCATTCGTTTGTGTGAATCGGTGTCATCTTCTTCTATCGTCTTTTCATGTTCACCAGTTGTAAATTCAGGTAGAAAGTTCTGGCTATCTAAGCACTTCTGGACTCTAGTCTTGTTTCAGACAATGAGTTTTGTGTGAATATCCGTTTTACAGATCTGGCTTATTTGTATGCAGACTTTTTTCCTTGCCTCTCAGGCAGATGCACTCCAACTTCAAAAGAAACACCCCTAATTAGTCAACTTTAACGAGAACATTGTGGGTCTTGTGTGGATGCTTGTGTTAACGAGGCAGTGGGTTGATTTTTTTTCTGTTTGGACCTTCGTGCATCAATGTGTTTCTTATTTTTACCTCCCAATGAAGCACAGGCCCTCAACCAACTCAAGCCAAGCCATTTTCATACTTTTTAAAGATCTGTTCGATTTTGTAGCAAAGGTTTTCTACAGACTAAAGAAAAGAAACCAGTCTCACACTAACTCTTATCGGTGAACTTTTACGTCATGCATAGAAAGTTACAGTGACGCTACGTTTTACTTCCTATATATCCCTGGGTACATTTATTTAAGAAATTTTAGAAATGCATACATCTGAAAGCCATTTTACTAAATACATTATTCAGATGGTCAAGATTGATAAAATTAAGAAGAATTTGGCCAATGCGCGTGTGTAAATCAACAGATCTATTTTCCAAGCCTGCATGAACTCATCCTAATTCACAATCTATGATTTAACGATACTTACTTCTCATCGTTTTCATCTCTCAGTCTCACAATTCGCGACTTGGCCTCCTCCAATGTACTCCTCAACGTGTTCAGCCGTATCTTATCAGCGTCTTGTAGAATCATAAAATTCTTGTCTGGAGTTCTATCTAACCGTCTTCTATATTTTACTGAGCTGTTTATCTCTTGTTGTGTGTTATCTGAATCCATAGCCAGTAAATCAACAATCTGTTTGACGAAGACAGCTCTTTATTCGTCATTATTATTGATTTTATTGTCCTGTCAATGTCAATTCATTCGTTCCTGTCGGTGAATGAGTGAGCTGCTGAGAGCTTGTGCATGAAGAGACTGGAATGAGAACCCATTCGATGAAATTTCGAGACAGACTTAAAATTAAACTAGCAAACTAAACGACATGATAGCAACATGGTTACTTGATTCAATATTTTTAGGTAGACAAGACGAGCTTGAACAACAAATCGATTGGTTTTTGTTTATTAGGTGGAGAGACTTATCGTCTGCTATACAACTCGACCTGCCAGTTTGGCAAATTTAAGTCAAATTACTCACTATCATCAATTTCCACTTTTGCTGCGTGGGGAGGAACCGTTTGCGATCCATCGCTTTACAGGTGGCAATAGCTATTGTGATTCCGTGTTGATGTAGAAAGTCTTTAATGTCATCAATCCAACTTCCCCGAGGACGATCTCTTGCTTTTATTCCATACCTTTTCACGTGCAGCTGAATTAATAATACAAAAACTCAGAAATGAAACATCAATTGATAAATAACAATTATTTGACAAGTACCCTGATAATATTTTATACATGTTAACTATAATCTGTAATCTCTGTTGTCACTCTTTTTAGGTGTGGAAATAACAGTACATGGCAACAGCGAGTATGACTAGCAAAACCCGTTGATTTTACGAAGGCTTCACAATTAGTGCTCGAGATTTCAGTACTAGTGCTGCCACTTCTTCTTCTCTTCCACTTGAACCTCGTCGAAGTGTCGGGGGGGGGGGGGGGATTTAACATTCGTTGATGAGCTCTGTCAAGAGCACTATTTAGACAGATGTTCATTTCTGTAATGCTGTTCTTAATACCATCACTCCATATTTTCAGAGGTCTTCCACTCGCTCTATATCTGTTGTAACGTTTAAGTGTGGCTCGCTGTGGCACATAGTACCAGGACATTCTTGTTACTGAATTTTGCATCTTACACTTTTGTTTTTAAATTATCTATTTTGTTTTCTTACCTCTACTACATTACCGTCTTATTTCTTATTAATCTGAATGCAGTATCCAGACGTAAGGCAACAGCCTAACCCCCAAGATACAATACATGCGCTCTAAGAAGTCCCCAGATAATCCTCTCTGCTTCTCGAACAAGTCAACAGGCACTCAGATTTCATCCTCACTCAGTATATCCATGGCCGTCTTAAGTTAAGACCGTCATGGAATATCTGCAGACGCTTTTCCCAAAACCCCATGGCCCCCAGGGACTGATTGTTGCCTACTGATGTTGTTCGTCTATCATGGGTGATGATGACCAGTCCTTTCATCCATTCATGGCTGGATTAGGTTTTGTGGGTGCGCAGATGTCTAATAAGGCCAGTTCGAGCACAGAAAATTCTTGAGCAGTGTGGATATGGAATTGAGGCCACATCTCTCTGGTGATTTGCTTCAGTGTCTTTCCTGGCTTGTCTTTTCTGAATTGCTGCTGCAGTTCTAGCAACTTCAAGGGCCACAGCTCCTCGATTAAGAGAGGAGCTCCAGGATGAGCGGTCACATGCAGCGACTTCCCAGGTTTTAGGATCAATGCAGAAATCTTTCAGTGAGGTCTTGAGGTTGTCCTTAAAATGTTTCGTCTGTCCACCTTGAGACCATTTTCCTTTTTGAGCCCCACCATAGAAAATTCTTTTTGGTAGACAGTGGTCAAGCATGCAGATTATATGACCTGCCCAGCGAGGTTGTGATTGTTTTAGAATCGTGAACACTGGGCAGTTCCGCTCTACCAAGGACTTGAGTGTCAGGGATCCTGTCTTGCCGTCTTATGTTCAGCAACTGTCTGTGGCATACTGTGTGGAAATGGTCCAGCTTCTGAGCATAGCGCTGGTAAACGGTCCATGTTTCACATGCATAGAGAAGTACAGGTAGTACGACATATTTGTACACTTTCAGCTTCGACTGATGCTAGCTCTATTCCAGACTTTTGTACAAAGTCTACCAAATGCGCTGCTGGCCTACTGCTAGTGTAGGGAGAGAAGACTGTACTTAAGGGTTTTAAAACTGCAGTGCTGGTGCTATCGCCAAAGGCTGTGTAAGTTATGATTTTATTTTTTACCCGTAACAGAAAAAAATCCATGAAGATTCGACCTCGGTTTTCATGCATGAAAGCCCTACGTTCTTAACTATTTGACCATCTACTCAAGTCTCTTCTTCTTCTTCACGTTCAATGGCTGAAACTGGCAAAAAAGTTATGGTTGTTCGTCAACCTCTGAACTGAAGTCTTGTTCCAGAACCTGAGTTTAACGTGCACACCCGTTTTAAAGATCTGAAATATTTGTATGCAGACTGTTGGTTCTTTGCCTCTCAGGTAGAACCGACTTAGACTTAAAGGAAGCCCCCAGTTTGTGCTTGTTGGGGAGGCAGTGGGTCTGTTCGTGTTTTCCCAAAAAGAGGGCACCAGAACGCACACAAGGAGCTCAAGTGCTGTTGGTCTATTTTATTTAAAAGTAGGCTAGCACCCCGCTATATACTCAATACATCGCAAGATAGAGTGATTCACACATAACGTGTTTGTGACTCAAAGAGTTAAAATCCATTTGATTTCGTTGTTTTGTTTTTACGATTTACCTGCGTTGAGAAAGTCTTTTCACACATGTATGAAGTCCTAGACTGGAAGAGTAAACACACCTACCCTACCTTGTTACTTGATTAGGCATAATTGCTTGATTGCCCACTTGAACTTTCCCCACAGGTTAAATAACACTGTTTTAGACGGTTAAAGAACAGTTTTAGACACGTAACAGCATTTCTCTATCCACTCTATAAAAAGCTGTTTTCTGGTCTATAAATGCAACTTTGCAGTGTCTTCACACTCTACTGCTCTTTCTGTAAGCTGTCTTTATGTCACATAAATTGTCTGTACATTTTTTTCTACTAAGAAATTAGTTAGTTAGTTAGTCTTTCCTCTTGTGTCGAGTGCGGCGCATAGGGCAGAGGTCATGACTCTCCATGCATGGCGGTTCGTTGCAATCCGTTGTAGGTCTTGGATGTTTGAGTGGCCCATGAGCGAGCCTTCCCTGATGATAGTTCTACGTAGGGTTTCCCTTGGTCTTCCACGAGATCTTTTTCCCTGTGGTGTCCAAATGAGGGCTTGGTAAGGAAATGGTACTAAGAAATGAACATAATTAATTATTCAGTTTGAGGTTTGAACAACGGATCAACATCATAGCACACGGGTAGAAACTAGGGCTGTACCGAATATTCGCTTCGGGGCCGAATAGTGGACCTAATAACTATTCAGTATTTGGCCGAATAGTTGCGGTCGGGCCGAATACGAATAGTGGTTACCTTACTCCCGTTTCTGCATACACTGTGATGGACTGAAATAACTTTTTCATTAACACAATAGTTGCTGTTGCCTAAGTCTGTCGGGAAACTGCGACCCGGTTGTGTGGTACAAACTGCATGTGTGTGTGTGAGTGTGTGTCTGTGTGAGAGAGTGGGGGAGAGAGAGAGAAAGAGAGAGAGAGGCAGAGAGAGAGAGATTATGCATTTTTTGTTCTTTCAGGGTGTCTTCGCCCAAATCAAATTTGAAGATATTGCTAACGAGAATATGAAGGTGCGTTTAAATTACATCGAACGAACAGCCAAGTTCAGTTTGAGTGGTTTTGAAAGAGGCGCGAGCCTGAAGACACATAATCACAGACATCAGAAGGAGACAGTCGTCATTTTTCAGCCATGTTATGAGAAGAGGGAAAATGGAACATTTGGTGACCACTGGGAAAGATCTGTGGATGGAGGGATAGAGGAAGACAAGAGAGAAGATTCTTGACAGTCTTGTTGCATGGCATGGAGGTGTGTCAGCACACGAACTGATACATGCTGCAGGAGATAGCAGATTGTGGAGAAGCATGATCGCCCACGCCAGTCGGCAAGGCACCTGATGATGATAATGATACACTATTCGTATTCCTATTTGGCCGAATAGTTGGTCCCAGTATTCGTATTCGGCTGAATAGTGAAAATCACTATTCGGTACAGCCCTAGTAGAAACCCATATATTTATAGTAGAAACCCATAAGTGCTCAGTTTTTTCTTCGAACTCAAGTCTGAGTCCGAAGAAGTTTAGCCCAGTGCACAGACTCTAAAGCATCAGTGAGGATCCTAAAATACTCTGGGTAGATTAACTCAAAATATTTGCCCGGGCAGCACCGTTAGGCTACTCTTTTCAGTTTCCAACTGCCAAGGGATTTTTTACGTGCATAATCGGGGGTCCGATCTCAATACCCAGAGACCAGGGAAATTACTAGAAGTCCAAGTCCATGTGAAAAAAATCCCAGCCCTCACCAGGGATTAAACCCGGAACCTATAGCACTCAGGGCGGACAACATGCCTCAAGACTAGGCAACCCCCATCCCAATTATTCAGTGAATACAAACGTGCCTCCCAATGTAAGATGCAATTCTTTGTTTCTTCAAAGCTGGGGGCCCTAATTCAACCCAACCTATAGGTTTAACAGGGTTTCTGGGACCTGTACCCAGGTGATCCTCATCTGAATGGTGGCACTTTGTATCACTCGGTGTGGTATCTTGATGGGGTTGAACGTCAGCATCATACTAAAAAAATTATCAATAAACATACAACAAACACAAAATAAAGAATTCATGAATCTTCATTTATTTACAAGTGTACAAAATAACTGAATCATAGTGTTTTAGGTGTGTAAATAGCAGTCTACAACAATGAGAAGGAGACAAATTTTTTTGGTCATGTGATGAGAACAGGAGCACTAGAAAGATCACTGGTAGAAGAGGCAGAGGCAGACCTGAAGGTGTGAAAAATGGACCTTTACTGTACTAGATGGATGATTTCAACATTCATGACTTAACAAATACACTGTTAAAATTCACACAGGTAAAAATAAAAACTGTTCACAAGATAACATTTAAACCCACTATTACGAACAAAATTAACAATTTG